AACAAATGAACAAAAACAAAAAAAAATCTATTAACTTTGTAAATTTATTTAAATATAAGTGATAATTTGAAATCAGGTACCTATAGCATAGCTAATTCAAATTTAATAAAAATAAAAACAGGTAAAATCATTTTCAAATTATACAAATTTATTATAGTAGATAAAGTATTGTAGAAATAATTTGAAACTGAATATAAAGAATATTTTGATTTAATAAAATATGTCAAAACTAAAAAAATTGTCTTTTTGTCAACTTAAATACTAGCAAACTTAATAGCAGGTTATTGCAGGTTATTGCAGACATTTGCAGCACGTTAAATAGGTAGATTTTACGTAATAGTTAATAGGGTAATTTATTAATGTATATAAGCAGATATATTATAAAACATATTGGAAGGTACTGACGACTAAAAACAATAAAAGCTGTACCTATAATATTGTGTTTTAAATATTATTTTATTTTCCTAAATTAAAAATTAAAAATAAATTGTTATTGTTAGTGTTATATTAAAACATGTGTAGACAATTTGTAAAGACTATATACAACTATATACAGAAATAAAATAATCATAAATCATAATTATTACCACAAAGAAAATAATTATTGTATGAGCTAAAAATTATTCATAATACCTTTTTGTCATTGAAAGCATCAATAAAATTATTATAATCCTTAGCTGATATTGGACATTTAACTTCAATAATAGTGTCATCATCAATCACTCCATCTGTACAATTTTTACAAAATATATATTGAATTCAAATTCTATTAATTAATAACTACCTGAATTTTTAAAACTAATAACAATATTTTGAAGACAAACTAATATAAAAAAAACCGGGAAAGTCGCGCTCTGCTGTATAGTAGGGGTCGAGTGGGTTAAACTTGAATGCAATGATAGATATCATTGTATACGAAAAACGATTCTGAACGGAGATGATTTGTCAATATTTCCTATTTTTACATTTATATTGATATTAATTAATTTTCTATTATTAATATAATATTATTTTGATGAGTTTTACATGCATTTAAAATACGCTCATAAAAAATATTAACGAAATATCATTTGACGTTTATTTATGATTAATTAAATTTAAACTTATCTAGAACCTTGTATTGAAATTTCAAACCTTAGGTGAATAATAAATATTTTATGAATTTTTTTCTTCAAAATGATTTGCAAATTTTGGCGTTTTTGACGAATTTCGGAAATATTTGAACTTTAAACGCTAATAAAAAAAACTGTGCTTATGTATTTACAAAATTTTTACCTACACTTTGACCTACCCACTCGACACATACAATACAGCAGAGCGACTTTCCCGGTTTTTGTTTTTTTTTTATACTAATGATTCTTATAATTTATTATTTTTTAATAAAAAACATTGGTAATAATGCATTATTATAAATAAGTCTATTTTTAATATTACCTGGACTGGCTCCCAAAAATGGGTATTCTAAATCGCAGTATAAACCACATGGCTTAACTTTTAAAAACATAGTTTTTTCGAAATCTGCAATTGCCGAAGATTCCATTGCTTTCCCATATTCCGTAGCCTTTGAACTAAAAGTTCTGTATACTAAATCATATACCAGATTTTTACATGATGTAGTGGCTCTTTTTTTGCATACGCGTCCAAAATTTGAGGCAGTTAATCTCTTTCGTCTTTCTATGTGCCACTTCTTAGAATTTGATTGACTTCGAGTTTCTTCTTCTAAAGTATTTCGCTGATACATATTCATACATAATGTGTTTAAAAATTTAAGTTTAATTTCGTCATAGTCAAAGGGTTCGTCGTTTTCTAGAGGTTCGGCTAACCCATAATCAGCGTCCGGACCGTAATGTTTAGTGTTTCTAGGTACATTTTCATTAAATAACATACGTCTTCTTCTCTGATCATTTTTCTTTTCTTTTGAAATTAAGAACTTTTTACCAACATCTCCTAAAAAAATAAAACGTCAAAATTATCATATAAAATAATTTATAAGTTGCATTATAATTATCTATTTGCTGTAGAATTGAAAATTGAAATAAACGTATTCAATTAAAATTCTCCCAAGATATACATTATACATAATACATATATAGTCTATATTATAATTATTTATTTTCTTACCAGGACTTTTATCTTGAACTAATGCTTTATGAATAGTACGTATGTATTTTCCAGATGTGTTGTGAGATAGTAAAGCTGCTTCTACTCGGACATTGTAATTATGTCTTTGTGAAAAATTTATTCGTTTGCCGGAAAGGTGTTTATTTATGATGCTATTAAATTGTTCACAAATATTATTGTCAACGTTCATCAATAAACTTTCAGCATTATTTGCTAAGCGGTTTACTATTTGAATAAATTCTTCTAACAAACCAGTAGTCAGAGCTTCGTCAATATAATTGATTTCGTTTGGCTTAGGACCATTGCAAAAATACGGTTCACATAATCTATGGTAACCAAGAATATGTCGAAAACTATTTGTGATATCTTTTCGTAAACCTGGGTAATTATTAATTATACATTTTTATTTTACATTATTTTGTATGGAAAATAAACTCGCTTACCAAATATTTTCTCTTCTTTTGTCTCATATTGCAACCTGCTGCGGTAATCCATGGCCTTAGTTATGGCATTTCGAAATCGTAAGGGATTTTTTTTTATATGGTTCCTAATTGAAATTGGATATTTCGTATTTTTTATTATTCCTGTCAATTTTGTGCCATAATTCCGTAATAAATGGTTACGGCACTCAATTTTTTCAATAAAAAAATTTGGACCGTATGGCATTACCTCTTGTAGCCTTCTAGTAACACTAGAATCTCCATCTCCTTTAAAATAATAACTAGTGATGTGGATTTTACGTAAATAAATTTTTTGGTCATTTACTGAGTAAAATTACGGTAAAATTGGTAAATTTTTATTAAAATTAAATTTATAGTGTACCTGTTGAATTTTTTTACAATATTATGTAAAGAAGGCAAGATAAATATAAAATTAAGCATTAGTACGAGACTCACATCACAAATAAAAAAAACCAAAAAAATACATTTTAATATAGATATATAATATGACTCCTTATTGCAGATATGCATTTTCTTAAAGATTTCACCTCAAATTAATTTACATTTTAAGTCATTTTATAAGACATCAAAAATCATTTTAAGCACAAGCCAGTGATATATTTATATAGTTAAATGAAGATAATACATTTCTTTATACGGATCTGAAATTTGCAGTTTAGCCTATTACGACATTACCTACTATAACGAAATTATACATAATATATCACGAAATTATATTACCCACAAATTTATAGAAACTTATTTTTTTTTATAAAAGTATTGATATATTTTGTTATGTTAATCCGGGTGTTATACTTCATTAATAAAGATTAGTTGAATAAAAAAATTGAAATTATTGTGTATTCACGAAATTACTTTACCATCAAATCACGAAATTAAATACCATATCACGAAATTACCTAAATTATCTCAATTACTTTTGAACTTTTATAAAAACTTATCACCGAAAGACCAGACAAATGAAATAACTTTTGTTCTAATACAATATAATTTTTTTTTTTATCAAATTTCAAATGTTTATCCAGTTTTTGTAACAAATATTTGAATAGGATTCACAACTTAACTACTGCATTACTTATACTATAATTATAATAATTAATAATATAAATAATTATCTTACCAATTAATTTATTATATTTTAACCCATGCATTTCTACACTTTTTTTAAAACCTTCAGCGACCGCATCTGCTTCTATGCTAGTTGCTCCTTTTGACCAGTTCATAAAGCATGTATGCCGTATGGTTAGTAGAACCTTCGGTTTTCTTATTTTTAAATCTCTGGCAAATCACGCAATATCGATTTCGAATACCAATGAATAATATTTTTTTAGTCTTATAACCAATAATAGTAGCCTAAAATTATAACAATTCAATAAAATATGTTTTTTATTAATTATGTTTATAAGACTTATTAAAACAACTTACAACACCAGACAAAGCATCATACTACGTTTTGTAACTACGCTTTGACCATTGGCCATCTGCTACGACGGTACACATTGGTGTACCATCATGGTCAATTTCGCCTATGCCTTATTGCCAATTTTTTTTCCTCTTCGCCTGCTATTTGCATTTCTTTCAATGCCACATTATGTATTTTCTCACTCATAACCAATAAAACTGCATTATAAGTTGTGTTTGACATACATGAGATATCAGCGGAAACAAGTACTTCAGCAAGTTGTGTATAGCCTATACCAGCTGCAATTGTCCCACTAACTATAGCTTGATTTATGGGAATAAAATCTTCTGGTTCACTTTTCTCAGATTCAAACGAAGATTTTAAATTACACATTTTACATTGAAAAATATATGAAGATCTGAATCCGTAACGTTTTTCCGATAAAAATTGCATGTCTAAGAATGAGCAACCAAAACTTCCTGCGTGTTTACTTTTTTGTATTTGTTCAAAAACATACATTATATCGACAATTCGACGACCAGTGCAATTCCTAAATAATAATAATACGAAAAAGTAAACAATATAAAAATATAAATATTACGTTTTATAGTTTTCCCGATGTTATTTGTACATATAAATATATAATATTTTATTAGTAGGTTTATATTGCATATTTTATACTATATAGCCATATAGGTATGTTGAGAATATATAAGAATCTTAGAATGTCAACTATATTACGATTATTTTTAATTATTAATTATTAATATATATATACATATAGCATTCGAATTACGTACTTAGAGAGTACTGTATCAGTATATGATGATGAAGAGGATGATACATATGTTTCTGCACATAGCTTATGGTGTTCAACATCGGAAACGTTGCCAAACAATAAATTAGATTCAGTTTCTGTATCCACCAAATTGGTATTTGAATAACTGATCTGAATATTTTTTAGTGTACTAGTCAGAATGGATTCTCTAATAATAATATACATTTTATAGATAGTTATTTAATTAAAATACGTAAACTGTATACAATACATATACATTTATAAATTTAATAGAAGATTTTCTATATGTTTTGCTCATAATAATTATAAAAAAAACTCAAACGTCATCATTACACAAAAACTTTTTATGAGCGTCTGAAATTTAAATTTTTACATAACCGCGTAAAATAACGATTTATCCTCAAACGATTTTGGATATTAATTATTATTAAAAAAGTATAAGTCGTGGAAACTTGAAACTTGAAACTTTGTGTTAAATTTTCAATTCTTAGTTTTGAATACAAAAAAATGTATACATTTTAAACTATGAAATAATTTGCAAATATTCGTGATTTTGTCGATATTTGAAAAAAAAAATTGAATATTAATAATGCCTAAAAATAGCTGGAAATTATAGAAATATATTGAAAAAAAAATATGGGATAAAATGTCAAATTAAACAACTGGTGGAAATTTCAAGTCTCCACAATTTATACTTTTTGAATAAAAACAAATATCAAAAATCGTTTGAGACTAAATCGTTACTTTACGTGATTTCGTAAAAATTTAAATTTCCAATGCTCATAAATATGTTTGGTATTATTCCAGTAGAGTTTTTTTTATAGAAATTTGAAGAAAAACTTTTGAGGAACCTTGTACCAAATTCTCAAATCTTAGGTATAAATATTTAAAATTTTATGAAATTTCAACTACAAAATATCTTCAAATTTTCATGGTTTTATCATATTTCAATATTATAATATTTCAATATTATACACTACACACAATCTTAATATTTAATTTATAAAGCATTTAAAATTTACATACATGGTGAAGGTTCTGCAGTTTCTTCAGATGCCAATAATTCACTGATCGATGTGGTAGGTTCCCTGTGTATAAAAATAATAGGTACCTATAGTCTAACTACCTATATACTTTTTGTCTATATAATAATTTAATACAAATACGAGTATAACTTACCATTTTGGTGTTCTTTTAGTAAAATTATTAATTCTTTCAAAGTTTAGTTTTTTTATACTTTTACGTCTCGACGGTGCTATCCGCCTTTTATTCGAATTACTAACTTTATGGTTATCCATTTAAAAAAATTTAACAAAACAAAATATGAGTAAACCCGGAAAAAATATACTACAGTCTAGACGCCCAGTAGTCAACTGAACACTTTCAATTGCATAGACGCATAATAAATTTGTTAAAACTAGTAGAAACAATATAATTTTTGTTATAATTTAATATTGTGTAGAGTGGGTAAGATATAAATTATAATTATACAGGATTACGAGAATTCGATGTTATGGCGATTCGCGGCAGCCGGCAGTGCTATTTTTATAAATATCGCCGCAGCCCGCTGGACAGACCGATTGTGACGTAAAGTAGGTAAAAATTATTATTTACATTTTCCAGTCATCAACACAAGGGCCACTTAAAAGTTTGTGGTGAAAATGTCTATAATTTTTTTCTTGTGTGACCATGACCTGCAGGGGGTAGATGATCAGATTGAACTTAGCCATACCTGACTCAGAGGTCTGCGCACGCTTATGATTACGAGCGTAATTTATTAATCGACGAGCGTATTTTTTTAACCGAAAAACATGGTTTCGTAATTCAAGTAATACGGCGTTGTGATGCGTTTTACAGTATAAATACCTATTACAAAAATTGTAGAGGAGAATTTTTTCTATGTTTTGTTGGAAACCGATTTCTGAAAATAGTATTAACAAGCGAGTATTACGACATAGAAAAAAGACCATTTTGTAAATACTGATTTGCTTATATTTTAGATAATTAATCACAATATCAAATATCTGATTCCAACAAAACATAGCAAAAACTACCACCTTTCAAACAATGTATTACTTATGAGTCTACGACTATTATTGATTTCGTAGCATTTGAAATACGAACGCACTATTTTCAATACAAAACGACTGGTGTTGCACCCTCTTAACAAGAGTATATACTACCTACCTACCTACCTACCTACCTACCTATATAATATTATATTAGTGCAGTATTATACTTATATCCTCGTATACATTATATTTTATAGACGGCGTATGACGACGTGCCCATTATATAGGTATACGTGTAAAAATAATATAACAACAATGTATATTATTCCAGGACCTAAAATTGTGTGCAGTAGCACACACTATGTGCAGTAGATAAAATTAAATGTGAAGTAGCAAATTTTAAAGGGTGCAATACTTATTTTCGGCTTTTTAACATTTTTATTTGATTAATATTCAATATTTTTTATTATTTTTTTTTTGTCTATTATAAGATGAACGCCAACCGGCTATTTATATTGATTATTCAAAATTACTAATTAGCATATTGTATTCGTTTAAAATACTTAACACTAAAAATAATACCGACTACACCATATTCTGAGCGGCTTATAATACAATAAGTATAATATATTAACCCAAGCTATTTCGTTTTTAATTTTAAAATGTTCAGTCATATAATAGCCTTATAGGTATCAAGGACTTTTATAGAAGATTGTCTTAGATTGTATTTATTATAACTAATTATTAATAAATAGCAAAAACAATAAATGATGGTATGAAGTTATATGTGGCATGTGAAATTATTTAAAAATATGTTGGTCTGGAATTAGGTGTGCTGTAGCAAAATACCTTAATTTTAGGCCCTGTATTATTCAGTAGTCTTCGCAGAGACCGTCGGCCGAAACCTTGTCGGCGATTTTATCACACACACAATATTTTTCTACAGTCTCTCTGAATCTCTGTCTCTCTCCGTCTAGGCTATAGGCGCGCCTATATAATATCTCATTCTTGCCGTCGATGGAATCGTATACGACGACATGCGATAGGTCAGATACGCCATCGTACGTGTGTACATACACGGACCGATTACAAGGATCCGAACTCCCGTCGAGGAGGGCTGCACACAAACGACTTGTGCGCAATAATATCCCTTTACATTTGTATCGCCGTCGGACTCAACTCTTCGCGTGTGCCGTACATCAACCACCGAACACTCGAAACCTCACGATCCGACTGCGTGTGTGTGTGTGTGTGTGTGTGTGTTTGGGTGTATGTGTGGGTGCGTGGGTGCAGTGTACTCGTATTGTATACCATATCGTAACGATAACTGTTTTCGGAAATTTTATCCGCAACCAGACCCGACGACCGTGTTTACGATGTCTAATCACGACCGTTTTGAAGTCCCCAATAATATGTCGCGTATAGTTAATCGTCCTTCGTTGCCAATCATACGCACATATATATAAATATATTATTAATATATGTGCATCAGTGGAGTCCGCAGGGGGTAGGCTAACGGGCTGAAGCCCCTCCCATTGCCCGTATTATTATTACTTTTTCAAAAAAATATTAATCAAGTTTTCATAAATTATCTGTAATTTTTCGGTAAAAGTATGAATATATAGGTTTACAGTATAAGCACGACAGTTATAATGTTTTTGGGAATCGAATGTATATATATATAAGTATAAAGTAGGTACCTGATATAATGACTGAAATAAACATCTCTCTGCAGACTGTAATAATTATTTTCTTCGTAAATCAACTCCGAAAAGCTGTAAAAACCGTGTATCGTGTCTGCATTAATATAATAATATAAGAGGACACCGCAAACGAAACATAAGGAACGACCGGGAGGGTGCGCTTTTACGTGTTTTTACGATCCGCAAACACGCGACGCTTAAACCACGCCCACTAGGCCATAGACAGCAGTCGGCCGACGATTGTGCTCATTCGGGAGCGCCGGAGCGTTGTTTATTATTTTATGAACCTTCGTCTATGACAGATCGCGGCGTCAATATAAAATTCATACACGTAAATGGCGCAGTAATATTTTTAATATCTACCTATACTTACGCGATTTGTACTAGATACTTCATAAAATATATACATATTTTATATAATATTAAATAATATCGGAATATCCGATACCTATATAATATAATATATTATAAGTATAAATAGGTATGATTTAAACTTCTTAAACTAATGTTACCTACCTAAATTAGTATTTAATTATCTTAAATATATTGTTTTCGTAATTTCCTA